AATATTATTATAATATACTCAGTTATAATTACCCAGTTCTTGATTTATCATCTTCATAGTCAAACATACCATAATAACCTACATCATTTATCTTTACTTTCAATAATATTATTATAATATACTCAGTTATAATTACCCAGTTCTTGATTTATCATCTTCATAGTCAAACATACCATAATAACCTACATCATTTATCTTTACTTTCAATAATATTATTTGGTTTAATATTTAAACTGCTTTTGAATGCTATTATTAATACTTATTATGAAATTTTAATTTCTTTAAATAGTTTTGGACAGTTAGCTGGGTATATGAATTAGAGACTAACCTACATCTTGTAGGATGACCAAACTTTGAGAGATATTACGGGAACTTCCACTGAAAATATCTTTAACAGCTAGGGCGCTCGACTGATTATTTAAAACATTATACACTATACAGGGGTCACACGTGTAAAACACCTGTCTATTTCAAACAAAAGAAAGAAAGAGGTGTGTAAAGTTCTTCGTTTAAATTAAGCACATTCATTTTGATACAGTTTACTGTGTATGCTTCACTTTTTTTAGTTCTTTCTGAACTTTTTTTTAAGGTTTATCAAGAATGTATTAAAAAAATACTTTACTTTTAACTATGAACTACCATATCGTGGCTGTATTCTCAAATAGTTTTTAAAACAAATTAAACTTTAATTTAGTTTTATGTATTATTTAACCCTTTTACTTTTTAATTTAGCTTAATTGTGAAAGATTTTTTTTTTATTTGTTTGCTGTTAAGCACAAAACTACACCTGTGCTCTGCCAATCATGGGTATCAAAACCCAATTTTTAACATTGCAAGCCCATATATTTACTGCTGAGCCACTGAGGGGCCTTATGTAAGCTAATAATGTAGTTTCTGTGATATGGACCCCTGTAAGGACAAAACATTGATCTGTTTTTTGTTGACAGGACTCTGGTTAGAAGCCTTACTGTTCCGACACCAACCTTCAAGGTTTGCAGTATGGCTAAATGTTTCCTTGTTGAATTTTATACAAAGCTACTTAAAGGTGATCTGTGCTAGCTGTCTCTAATTTAGAAGTGATACTGGATTACAAGTAATGGTCTTAACATTTTACTATATTATCTAAAACAAAGTGGACAAATGGCGACTTTGGGAAGAACATGCAACTTTATCAGTAATTAGTTAAATCCATACTGACAGCAAATTAAATGTATGAACTAAACTGTCATTGTTTGCTTGAATTCTTAGAGCAAAGCCAAATTGGGTTTGTCCACCACAGGGTATCGAACCTCAGACTTTAGCATTGTAAGCCTGTAGACTTACTGCTGTCACACCGGGGGGACTCTAAACTGACTTCACACAACTTTTAATAAGGGAGTGTTGTGGGCTGGAAACCACGACTTGGAGGTCAGTCACGGCTCACGAACTGGAAACCACAAACTTGGAGGCCAGTCATGGCTCACGAACTGTAAACCACGACTTGGAGGTCAGTCATGGCTCACGAACTGGAAACCACGACTTGGAGGTCAGTCATGGCTCACGAACTGTAAACCACGACTTGGAGGTCAGTCATGGCCCACGGACTGCCCTTTGAGAATCAGGGTCTACTGGAAGTCAGATGGTGTACAAAGTGGATAGTCTTATATTTGAATTAAGAGTACTGGTACACATAACACAAGCAAAGTAGTGATGGAGGAAAAGTTTGGATTACAGGTGACAGTTTCAACATTATACAAAAGCTAGTATCAGTATCAACACTTCTCGTATTTCCTAATCAACTCTTTGTTTTTGGTTCGAAAGATTGCTGCCCGTGACTTAAAGCTTTTTTTTTTCATTCTGAATATTTTAATTTTTGAATATGGACGAAAGCATATAATACTTACATTTTCTGTCATTCCCATAATTCCAGTCACCATCATCAAAGTCATCAATATCACTGTCTACTTTCCCAGAGTTGGCAATCCTTATTTTAAAAAAAGTACTGTGAGTTTAACAACTTATTAGCATGGCAGGTAAAAATAGATTCTATTTTTATGATAAGTAGTCATAAATTTTACCATGTCTATAAAAAAAATCACAAACATTTGTTGAGAGGTAACAAATTTTATGAGAACGTTAAAAGCTATAGTCATATTTTAAAAGTGGTATTCAGCAATTTGCAAGGACTGTATAACAAGAGGTTTAAGAAAAATTTTATGCAGTGTGTGAAATAGTTAGACTTGACCAGGGGGTTTAGAGAATTTGTATGTGATGTGTAAAATGAGTCAGACTTCACCAGGAAGTGGAGAGAATTTGTATGTGATGTGTGAAATAGTCAGACTTGACCAGGTGGTTTAAAGAATTTGTATGTGATGTATGAAATAGTCAGACTTGACCAGGTGGTTTAAAGAATTTGTATGTGATGTGTAAAATGAGTCAGACTTGACCAGGAAGTGGAGAGAATTTGTATGCAGTGTGTGTAAAATGAGTAAGATTTGAAGAATAAATGAGACTAGTTACTGGTTAGAAACAACACTTATTCAATAACAAAATCTGGCAGATGAAAGCAACTATAATCAAGGCAACATTTTTCAACACTTCAGGCTGGCTATTTTGTCTATTGGATAACTTCACACAAGAACTGTGAATACCAATCTTCCAAATACCTGGTGAATTATGGCCAAGAACTAGCTTTGCTTAGAATTATATTACAATTCTAAGCACCACTAAAGCTTCCCAGAATGTCATGTGATACATGGCAGCAATCAGGCCCCATTAATGAAACGGGGAAACCAGAGTCTCCAATTCCTCTATCTTACATAACAACATATATAACTCATTCAGAACACCACAACAAAAAGAAGAACCAAGCATGTAATAATGTAATGCAGACAAGTCTCATACTAAGACTTAATAACATGGGTGGCATCCCTCAAGGAAAGGTTAGGAGGTCAAGGTTAGGCACATTGTATACAACTTGTAAGGAAGTACAGAGACCTTTTAAAAATTAAGTCATTAAAGATACATTCGTATAAGTGTTTAGATGTACACATCATTAAAATTACCTGAACAAATCTGATGAGCATAAAAGAAAAATGTGTATTCTCCATTTAGTATTGTTTACAAACCATCTAGTTATTGAAAGTAAAAAAAAAGAAATCTTATTAGTATAAATCACATAAAACCAATCCTTTATTGAGTAGATTAACAAACATCAAAGTTTGCAGTTTAACCAAGAGTTTGTTTGTTGAATTTTTTGTAAACTTACTCAAGGACCATCTGTGCTAGCCATCCCTAATTTATGTAGGAGGGCAGCTGGTCAACACCACTCACTGCTAACTCTTTGGCTACTCTAACCAAACACTGGGTTTGACCATCACATTATAATGCCCCATGGCTGAAAGGACGATTATGTTCGGTGATGGTACTCAAACCCATGACCCGTAGATTGTGGGTCAAGCACCCTAACCACCAGACCATGTCAAGTTAAAACCAAGTGTTAAAACAACTTATAAAGATACACAACTATAAAGAAATGAATATATATATAAATATTTAAACTTTTTTCTATAAATTCTGATCACTTAATGCTTTTTTAAATTCAACTATGGTAATGTGTTGCTGTGTCAAGTTATAATACAATATTTCTGTAAGTCAGGCAAAGATCAAGAAACGCAGTTCCTAGTTCAGCAGTAAACATAAACGACAGTATACAGAGATTACTTTGTTCAGTAAACCATAAGTCAAACTTACCTCAACCTGTTTTATTCTTTATTTTTGTAAAAATATAACTAACTTTTGGGTAAAAAGTAGGGTGACCAACCACCTGAAATATTCTAGATTTGCACAGAATTTGTAGAAACGTGCATAGTATCCATGATGTAAACCATGGGCATGTTATACTTTGTGACCCAAAGAAGGAGAGGAATCCTTTTCTCAATAGTTTCGATAAAAGCTCTGATGCAGTTAGACGAACTATTTATTAAACTCTACCTTTTGCTCGCAAGGCGAGAACTGTTTCTACCCAAACATTCTAGTTAGACGAACTATTTATTAAACTCTACCTTTTGCTCGCAAGGCAAGAACTGTTTCTACCCAAACATTCTAGTTAGACGAACTATTTATTAAACTCTACCTTTTGCTCGCAAGGCAAGAACTGTTTCTACCCAAACATTCTAGTTAGATGAATACTATTTATTAAACTCTACCTTTTGCTCGCAAGGCGAGAACTGTTTCTGCCCATTCCCATGCATTTTTCCAAATGTGGAGCAAATCTCGAGGCAGCTAGGTTTCGCTGACAATTTGGACACACACATTCAAATTGCTTTTTAATGGGGACTTGACCGAAAACATCGCGTCCAATTTCATCAACAATTTCTGCAAAAGTATATAAGAATTAGTTAAGTTTTTTTTTTCGTATCCTAAAATACAAAGTATAAATGCTAAACTGTTTTTCTGTAAAGTACAATTTGTATATAAACTATTACTATAGAGATGAATACTGAAAATAACAAATATCAATATTACAATTTTATACAAGATATTTTCAAATAGCTATTATTTTTCACGTTAAAAACATCTTCATTATTACTAGCTGTGGTAACCATTTCAGGTTCATTGGACATTGTAATTTATTAACAGAAGTTCAATAACTATATTACCAATAGAGTATCCAAACACATTTAATATAACATATATGGCAACAAATTTTATTTATCCTAGCACTTAAAAAAAAGCATCAAATACATAATGTGAACATCGTTACAACACGTAAAAGTTTATAAGTATATTTAGACTTGCTATTTATAATACTGTGTGTTTGTTTGAAGTTAAGCACAAAGGGCTATCTATGCTCTGCCCATCATAGGTATTGAAACCCAGTTTCTAGCATTGTAGGTTCGCAGACATACCGTTGTACCAATGGGGGGGGGGGGCTGTTTTAAGTAATAAAATGTCAGAAGTTTCCATTTCTCCATTTTAAATATTAAGAATAACCAAAACCTATTAATTAAAATACAAAGTAATAAAACATTAACTGTGATGTAGGCTTGAGTCTACAATGTAAAAATCACATGTTTTGTGGACAAGATACAAAGTAACATCTTCATAAACAAAAACTGGACAAAAAATTAAATAATGATAATAAACCTAATTATATAACTACCTGCAAAATATAACAAAAAAGTATTGAAATAATTTTCTAAGGTACTATATTTCTTGTAGTGAGTCGAGTCCTGGAGGTTGCACTGCCACATGCTGATCCCTCATGTGGAGACTGGCTGCATCATAAGAGTTCCTTCACTGATGTTAAAAATAACATAATTTTCTTTCCCTTACACCATAAATTACTTTGTTTTCAAACAGTCTCATCCCCTCTGAATTTGGATGAAGATCTTCCAAGATTGCTGCTTTTACCTTACTAGTGCAAAGAAGGTTGATGTCTCACCAGTAGAATTGTGGTGGACTTGATAAAGGAACATCTTAAGAAGGTTGATGTCCCATCAGTAGGGTTGTGGTGGACTTGATAAAGGAACACTTTAAGAAGGTTGATGTCCCATCAGTAGAGTTGTGGTAGACTTGATAAAGGAACATCTTAAGAAGGTTGATGTCCCATCAGTAGGGTTGTGGTGGACTTGATAAAGGAAAATCTTAAGAAGGTTGATGTCCCATCAGTAGAGTTGTGGTGGACTTGATAAAGGAACAGCTTAAGAAGGTTGATGTCCCATCATTAGGGTTGTGGTGGATTTGATAAAGGAACATCTAAACAAGGTTGATGTCCCACCAGTAGAGTTGTGGTGGACTTGATAAAGAAACATCTAAAGAAGGTTGATGTCCCACCAGTAGAGTTGTGGTGGACTTGATAAAGGAACATCTTAAGAAGGTAGATGTCCCATCAGTAGGGTTGTGGTGGACTTGATAAAGGAACATCTAAACAAGGTTGATGTCCCACCAGTAGAGTTGTGGTGGACTTGATAAAGAAACATCTAAAGAAGGTTGATGTCCCATCAGGAGAGTTGTGGTGGACTTGATAAAGGAACAGCTTAAGAAGGTTGATGTCCCAACAGTAGAATTGTGGTGGACTTGATAAAGGAACATCTTAAGAAGGTTGATGTCCCACCAGTAGAGTTGTGGTGGACTTGATAAAGAAACATCTAAAGAAGGTTGATGTCCCATCAGTAGGGTTGTGGTGGACTTGATAAAGAAACATCTAAACAAGGTTGATGTCCCACCAGTAGAGTTGTGGTGGACTTGATAAAGAAACATCTAATGAAGGTTGATGTCCCATCAGTAGGGTTGTGGTGGACTTAATAAAGAAACATCTAATGAAGGTTGATGTCCCATCAGTAAAGTTGTGGTGGACTTGATAAAGGAACATCTTAAGCAAGCTTTCTCATTTAGTTTCACTCCTGCCTAGCCTAGAACCCACATCAAGGTGATGGTCTTACCATGTATATACTTTACTTTCTGGCATCCATCTGGTGACCAACAACTTTGAATTTTATGAAGTACAGCCTATGAGTCAGTTACAAGCATTATATTGGTAGCACTGTCTATTTATGGTTTATTACTTTCAATAATCCAGAGGAGGGCTTGCTTTATGGCTTCCAGCTCCATCTTTGTGCAACTTGTAGGATGTTTGAATGATGTATAGCCATAATGTTGTTGCTCCATAGGAGAATGAATTCACAACCAACTCTCTCATCATCATTGGTGTAGAAATTATCTGTGGCTATATATCCCATGACAGTGACTGTCCACCATAGTCTTTAAATAGGTATTGAGAGGCTTTTCCTGTTTAACCCTCTGTCCAATCTTTACATTTTCTGTCAAGGCTGATTTCCACAGATCCAAGAAGCATTAGATGTTTATTTCCACATGAGGAAAACTGAACTCTCAGTGGTAGCAGTACAGAATTTGTCGACCAATAAATGCTTTCTTTGGTGCCTTTTAGGCAACCTCTGTTTAGCTGCTGTCTGCAGGATCTTTGTGGAGCTAGAATGTCCCAAGTACAAAGGATAATGACTCAATAGTGTAAAGCATGGTCTCTGCGCTGCAAGGTCTTCACGAAGAATTCTACTTATAAATGTTGTCAGTGTTCTGTATTTCTGATGAGACCCATGATATGTAATGGAGCTTTCGTGTGGGTCACTGGTGTATATCCCATGACCAGTCTTTAACAAATGCTGGCTTGTCTTTATCAGCATGTCTGTTGATGAGTGTGCTGTAGCTTTGTAAGGTATGACAAACATTCCCGTGTCGTTGCATCATCTGATCTCCCTGCTAAAGGATGTTGGCATCTTACTTTTGATTTCAGCTTGCTGTCAGGTGGTGTGGCATCCTTATCACCCCTGAACCACCGATTATAAAATGGCAGCCACTTACTAGCTTTAATTATTAATAACGTGTATCTAATTATTTATATATAATTAATCATTTTAATAATTATTATACTTTTAATATTTTTTAACATCAAGCACCTAATGTACTAAGCTGATTTAACACCATTAAAAGAAAACTACGTATTGATAAGGAGTGAATCTAAACTTGGATGAACAAGATGTTGTGTTTGGCTGGTTCTAAACTCCTCTAACATGTTAATTTGTTTGGCTGGTTCTAAACTCCTCTAAACATGTTAATTTGTTTGGCTGGTTCTAAACTCCTCTAAACATGTTAATTTGTTTGGCTGGTTCTAAAATCCTCTAAACATGTTAATCTGTCTTCTACCTGCGTCAAATGTCAAATAAGAGAAACAATTTTTAAGTGAGGAATGTGGTTCAACAAAACCAAAACATTTTCTAGAATGTTCTATCTTTAAGTAAGAGTTCTGTAACCAACACTTTCTAGACATCATAAAACCATAGCTGATACAAACTTACGTCTTCAGAAGAATTAACCTGTTAAAGTGAATGAAGACTTTCTGCAGGACTACAGAAATGAAACTATATAGTGTATAAAAAGATTTTAGTTCTATTTTATTTATAAACTTTAAACAATTTACTTACCAAACTTCTTCTCACTTCCATTTGTGGCAGAACGGTCAGAGATAAAAAATAAAAGAATATTTTCAGCTTCACTAAATACATTATAACTCAACTTCCAAGTATACAAAATCAATAAACTATATTAAATTTTAAATTCTTAAAATGAAACTTATTTTCACTCATCTGGAAGGATATACTTACAATCCTTGTAACAAAAAATGAACAAATCTCTACATAAAGATTAAACTATATCCAACGATAATTAGAAGACACCATAACATAGCTAAACAAAATGAAAAACACTTAATCAAGTGATTTAAAAAATTTCAGAAGTGTAAAATGGAGTCATAAAATATAGTTTAAATAAAAAGTTATGTAACAGTTTCATACAGGAAAAAAACTCCTAACTGTAAATACAATTATATTACAGAATCTTTCATTAACATTTTAGAAAAATATGTTGTCCATTTTCACATTAAAAAATATTACTCCAAAAATATTTGATGACCTGACAACTATATTTTCAACTTATCTCTACAAAATTTTTACTTAAAGTAGAGTTTTTTCAAGTTCAAGACATTGGGATAATTGTTTATGTAATATTTGTTCTAATTCAGCATTACTGACAAGCCAGTTGTCGTTGTTTAAAAAAGATCTTAGTAACTATATCACACATACTGTTATAAGATAAGTATTTAACCAGAATAATTACAGACAGATAGACACAGAATTTATTCATATTTAACAAATCCCTATAAAATGTACACAGTATTTGATATTGAAAAAAAAATGTGGTAACTGTAATTCTTTGATAACTTATGACAAAATCGACATATTTATGATGAACAACTGTGAAGTTAAAATATCTTTATTTAATGCAAAATATTTCTTTAAAATGATAATTATCAAATACTTAAGCCTAAAATCATACATATATGATATATTAAGGCATAAGAGTGAGGTTTAATCTTTGGATGTTTCTGTTTATGGTCCAACTGTGATTTAGTCTGTCGACAAGAACCCCCGAAATGGTAGCCAAAAGCTCACAAGTTGTAAGTTAAGTAGAAGAAACAGAAAAACCTGTTCTTATGTTATATACACATAATATGGATCATCTATGTCATGAGTCTACATCAATATTTGGATAATTCAACTTACAATAAGACTTTACAAGTCAGACTTTCGTTGAACAAATAAATAAAAACTACTGCTGTAGCTCTCAAAAACTAAACTCTGTAGATCTAAAAAAATATATTTAAATTTAAACTTAAGGTGCAGAGGACACATACTCTTCTTTGGATTCGTCCAAAAACAAAATCCCCAGTTTTACAGCTCTGTGGACTTCAAAGCATAATCCCAAGATCACTCCATTTGCTACTTCAGTGTAAACATCCTGGCTCAAAGACTGGTGGAGAAAATAATAACTTGTGATACTTATCGTCACATCTTTAATGTCATCCAAATTAGCGCACAAGAAAAGCTATAAAGTTTTAAGTAAGAACCTCTTTTTAAATCAACACAAGTTCATCCAATAAAAATATAGACATAGCTATAACTTGATAAACACTGAAAATACAAAAAACTGTTGCAAGGAAGAGAATAGAAGACCAAGGTTTGGATCAAATGATCTTCATCACCTGTTGTTTTCTCTGCTACGTAATCCTAGAAATCTTGCTCTCTCTCAAGTCTGAGAAATATCCTATGAATAAAAGTTGGGTATTTGTGAATATTAAATAGGCAAAATGGCAGATATATAAATAATAACCAGCACATTCATGTTTTGTTAGCCGTGTATGCATCTTAATAGCAAACTACGTTTTTGTGTAAGTAATAACCTATTCCATTTCTCTCCAAAAGGTTTATTATTATTTACATTCACCTCCTTAACAAAAAAGCTGCCATGGGATTATATTTACATACCTGGTACTTGGCATGATCCTCCTTAAGTAGTGGTTCCTAACTGTTTTCATCTGAAACCCCATCCCCCCTATAAACTTTATGCAATCTGTGCCCCCACCCCAACCAACCCTCCCTTGCATACCAGTTTAGGCCAGAAAAGTGCTTTGACTGAAATCATCTAACCTTACAGGAAGACAAGTCTGGTGGATCCCCCCCCCCATCATGTTTGTCTCCCATAGGTTGAGAACTAGTGTCTTTAAGGGTACAAATATGTGTTGACTCGGAGAAGTCTAATAGAACTTGTATATGTAGAAAATGACATATTTAATATTAACTAGCTATAGCCCTTCATACTTATTAAAGACTCCAATTATTAATCCATATAAAGGCTATAACTATCACACATATTTGACACTATGACCACAAAACCTGGAATCTAAACCACACACACACAAGTGAAACTAAATTTGTAATACATATACATGTACACTAACCATCTCTGAAACAAACATACGATGCTGTTAATATCTACGAGGAAAACAGATTTAAGTAAATTACATTAGATATGTTTAAACCATTCCAAATTCATGGATGACTGTGGGCATGTTAAGAGTTTGATGCAGACGTGAACACCATCACAAAACATTTACTTGTAACTTTCTTCAATACATCTTAATAGTACTAATAAATCATTGTTAGTAACATAACTTATAAACAAAAAAAGATGTAGACTCCTTCACGAAAATTTCAACAAAGAAACAAATATCTATTTTTAGTTTAATCAGTAACTGAACACAAAATGTAAGGTGGTAAATACCTCTAGTTCATCACTTGATATGGCTTCAAGTAAAGTCATTGCCTCTTCATCCATTAATGGTATCTGTTGCATTTTAGGTGGAACAGTTCGAACCTTGTGAGAAGTGCAAGTGTGTTAGCCAATATAATTTTTCTGCCTTTTATTATCCTGCTTTATGGTCAAGCAGTCACATTTTTAATATACCATACAATAGCTAGTCTACACATATATGTGAAATATATATATTTTTCTTGCAACTTCCAACAACTTACTATACTTCAATTTAAAAATATGTCATATTAGGCCACAATAAAATACTTCATTTTATCATGAACTAATCTTCATCAGGTAAAATGGCTAATCTATTACCTTTATACAACTGCTTTTTTTTAAAGCTGTTTTTTGCATTCAACAATAACTTTTCTAAATATAAGTCAGTTTTGAACTGACCATTTTTGCAATGTGAAAAATACAACAATGATGAAATAAGAAGTGTATTTGTGGAAACCTATGTTGTCGGGTTAGTATACATATATTACTAAATACAACTGTTTAAAATTTCATTTACAACCTAAGTTTAAGATTTGAACTAACTTCTGGAAATCATTTTACAAAGTCAGAGTTCACTTAATTACATTAACTTAAGGGCCTGCTTGGTACTTTGGATCTTGATTAAGAAAGCCCAGAAGCAGTTAGACTCGGCGGCAGTGAGTAGTGACGTACCCAGGCTTTCGTAAGTTTAACTTGGCCATCATGTAATTATCTACTAATACTATTGTATTAATATTTAATTTAATTTGAAATTTAAATGATAGCATATTCTGAAGATGAATTGATATCATTGAGCGTAATGTTGACACACGAGGCGCACTGTCTTTGTTTTACTAGTTTTAGCGTTTACACGTGCCACGTGTTCTGTCTAGTACCAGATTTTTATTATTACTAATATTACTTAAAATGTATACCAAAACTATGTTTATTTTGTTTTAACTTTACTTTGTTAAATTTAGCCTGAGTAAGCTGAAAGTTTTATATTTAAAAAGTGTTGTTTGTTTTCACTCTTAGTCTTACTAGACTTCACAAATTGCATTTCCAAACCTAGTATGACTCTTTGACTATGAGTCTTAAACTTTCCTAGCGTAGACATAGACAGAATTACCGTAGGAGTATAACATTTGAGTAATGTGCATGTGACATTACTTTTATATTTTAGAATGCTTTTATCCATACTATTTTTAAATAATGTAACTGTCGCTTGTTTTTCGTTCTTGATAATGTTTTAAGATAGCTTCTAAGATAGGATTCGCTTATAACTTATATTTACAAGAAGTTACTTTGTAAGTTACACGATAACCTTGGTCTTTTAATTAGTGTCAATAACATGTTGTAAATAATAATTTACAATCATTCTGGTTGCACGTATTTATAACAATTGTTGCTTTAACTTTTACTAAACTTAAGACTGAAAAACAGCACAACACCAAAAATTGTTTCTTCAATCTGCAACAGTGACCTGTCAAATTCAGTAATTGTGCATTGCCCTCTGGAAAATATAGTTGTAAATATGTATCTGAAAATTATCAATTAAGATCCATCTTTGTTTCATTTTCTGTCATTTATATATTTTTTTATCAAATATTGAGACGAAATAGTCTTCGACAAGACTGTAATAAATAAGATTTTAAAATTACTCCTTTAGGTGTAAACGAACAAAAGATAAAACAATAAATAAAAAACTACCGCAGTGCAGCTTAAACTCTTTAAAAGGGGAGAAATGCGGAAAACTGAAAAAAAATAATGATGCTAGAACGTCATGTGTATGCATTCAATAAATAGCATGTTACCTTGCACTTTTAAACAGGTATAAATCAAATAGTATTCATTTATGGTTTATTTTTGTGTGTGTTTACTGGTGTTTGGGAATTTCATTCAGATCCTGAACAGAAGGTTCATTTCTTTCCTAGGTGATAGAAAACTGTCAAAAGATGGCCTGTGACGCTGTTTCAGAGAATCTGGTACTTATAGATTATAAACGAGTACAGAGTGAAATATTTGACTATGTAAACTTTGGGTAGAAAGCAAAACAGGCTTCACTGATCTCTGGGAATAATGGAATGCCAGCGCGGTTTATTATATATATTTTACCCATCTGTAAAGTTCCTTATAAGATTTTACTGTCTGTTGTAAAAACTGACCGAATCCGTCAACCTAGATATTTCTCTTAGCATTGCAACTACCACTTTTAACACCCTCAGTAGTCTTAGCCTAATATGGAAATGCATAACCATCTGGTGCTAATATTTCTTCTCATGAGTTAAAGGTATTTTACCTTGTGGTTTATGTTCAACACTGCTGCGAAGATCATTCTTCTTTTTGTAACAAAATTTTTATTAGAAGTTAAGGTTTTAGTTTCGCTTCCAGAAAAACTCTGGCTAAAGACAACTCGTATTAGCACCAGAAGTAAAAACAAATGTTATTCCAGTGTACTCCCTATCAGGGCGAAATATAAGTTGTAAATTTAACTGTAGCCCAAAAATTCTTTGGTGTAGCATAAAATGTATCAAGTTTTTCAACTCAAGTGACACCAATGATTCATAATTTGTAAATAATTAACAATCTAAATAAACATAATGGAAACAAAATCTGCATGATTAGGCTCAACCTCTTTTAGAAATCGTAGGACCTTTAAAATGCTATTGTAGCCTATATCAGAAACACCAGTTTAGTTGATTTTTTTTTTCTATTTTCGCACGTTTTAATAACCAAAACTAAATTTTCTGTTTTTTTTTACGAATTATTTAATTATTTTCCTTATAAGTTCCAATATCTGTAATTATAAAAAACAGACTTTTGGGGATGCTACCCCTCTTGTCCAAATTAAGATTATCTACTTTTTCAGTTATCTTCTTATGATATAACATAAGTTTATCTATTTTATTATTCAAAAAAAGCCCAAAAATGTAGGTCTTATGCCCCCCCCCCTCTGTGGCTCAGCGGTAAGTCTGAGGGCTTATAATGCTAAATTTCGATACACGCGATGGGTAGAGTATAGATAGCCCATTGTGTAGTTTTGTGCTAAACAACAAACTATAATTTTTATAAGTCCTTTGAATCCGTGGTGTTCCCTAGAACTGAAATTCACATGGTCTTTATTTTTTAAAGTGTTAAAGTCCCTCGAAATTCCAGCCATACAAGTCGTTATCTAAATCTCCTTTTTTTTTTTTTGAAACTGCTTTATACTAACTTTTGTTGAGTTATGATAATGTTTCGAAATTTTACAAATTAGGATCATTAAAATAATTAGTATTTTTCGCTTTTTTTATCTCATCCGGTGGGTTTGTTTGTTTGTTGAATTTCGCGCAAACCTACTCTGAGGTTATCTGCTAACTAATGGGCTACTTTTTACCAAGGAAAAGTAAGATTGACCGTTACGTTATAACACTCCCGCTGCTGAAAGGGTGAGCATATTCGTTAACATCTGAACGTTACAGTTAAGCCTCGTAGCTCCCTCTAGCTAACATTAAAAATATAGCTCACACATTTTCGGACATTTTTTTTAGAAATGTTCAAGTACCCGGAATTTTTTACAGTATAAAATATATATTTTAATACGACCGTTTTTGGAGATTTAAACAGACAATCTCTGGAGATTTAGACAGACAATCTCTGGAGATTTAAACAGACAATCTTTGGAGATTTAGACAGACAATCTTTGGAGATTTAGACAGACAATCTTTGGAGATTTAGACAGACAATCTCTGGAGATTTAAACAAACAATCTTTGGAGATTTAAACAAACAATCTTTGAAGATTTAGACAGACAATCTTTGGAGATTTAAACAGAAAATCTTTGGAGATTTAGACAGACAATCTTTGGAGATTTAGACAGACAATCTTTGGAGATTTAGACAGACAATCTTTGGAGATTTAACACAGACAATCTTTGGAGATTTAGACAGACAATCTTTGGAGATTTAGACAAACAATCTTTGGAGATTTAAACAAACAATCTTTGGATATTTAGACAGACAATCTTTGTAGATTTAAACAGACAATCTTTGGAGATTT